ATTGCATTGTTTGGTTCTTCTGTGTCTTTGATGAGTTTCTTTGTAATTGTTCTATCTTTCATTAAAATTGGTGTATTATAGTCTCTACTATCACAGTGGAGTCATATATTTGCCTTTTCAATTCTGTTAAGGTCTGATTTATGTATTTTGGGGCTCTTTCATTGGGTTTGTAGATATTTATTATGGTATGTCTTCTTGTTCATTTGATCCTTTAATCATTATATAATGTCCTTCCTTGTTTCTTATGGTGGTTTTTGTCTTAACATCAGTTTTGATCAGAAATTAATGTTGTCACTCCTGCTCTTTTTTTGATTGCTCTTTGCTTGATGCATCTTTTTCCAGCCTTTGATTTTTTAGGCTATTTTTGTCTTTGTAGTCTAAGGTGAATCTCTTGTAGACAGCATATTGATGGGTCCTGTTTTCTTATCCAGTCTGCAACTCTCCATCTCTTGAGTGGTGTATTCAATCCATTTACATTCAGTGTAATTGTGGACAAGTATGAATTTATCTGTGCCATTTTATTATGTGTTTTTTGTGGTGCTGCTGATTTCTTTGTTCCATATAATTTCTGGGAGCTCTGGTAGCATAGTGCCTAGGGCACTTGACTGCTAACCAGAAGGCTGGAAGTTCAAACCCACCAGCCACTCCTCAGAAGGAAGGTTGAGCAATCTACTTCCGTAGTGATATCTCCTCAGAAACACAAGGAGAGGTCACTATGAGTCGGGTTTGACTTGATGGCATGTAACAACAACAACATATAATTTCCTGTGCTGAGCTCATTTTGTTTATGAATGTTGTTATCATTTCTTTTGTTGCTATTGTTTTAGAATTTGCAAAATATTTGTGCCCCTACTCTTTTTAATTTTGATGTGAAAGTTTATTATTTTTCTTTGAGGTTGCCTTATGATTTATTATTTTCTTCCCAAGTTTAGAACAATCTGTTCTATCTCACTATTGTGTTGACTTCCTCTTCATTTGGAAGTTCTGTACCTACACTGTTTATTCCCTCTTTTTGGTTTGTAGTTGTCCTCATTTACCAACAGATGTTTCTGGTTCCCTGTTTACAGTCTTGTAAGTTTATTTTACTTTGGATACTTCTATAATTCGGTTGGCTTATAGGTTATGTAGTCATCTGTGTTAATCATTGGTTGTTGTTTACTGTTGTTGGTTCTCTGTGTGAAGGGCTCTCTTTAGCATGTCTTTAATGGCTGATTTTGTTTCAACAAATTCTTTTAATTTCTGTTTATCTGGAAATGTCCTAATTTCACCATCCTATTTGAGGGACAGTTTTTCTGTGTATATTATTCTTGGTTGACTTTTTTTTTTTTTTTTTTCAGAGTTTTATATATATCATCCCATTGCCTTCTCACTTACATGGTTTCTGCCAAGAAATCAGAGCTTAGTTCTATAGGTTGCCCTTTGTAGGTAACTTTTTATCTTTCCTGTCCTGCTTTCAAGATTCTTTCATTGTCTTTTGTTTTGGTAAGTTTGATTTTAATATGTCTCCATGATTTTATTTTGGGGTCTATCCTGTTTGGGGTTCATTGAGTTTGAATGAATATCTTTTCACCTTTCCTCATATTAGGCAATTCTCTTCCAACAAATCCTCGATAGTTTTCTCTGTGGTTTTATTTGTCTTTTCCTGTTATAGAATTCTGATCACACATAAGTTATTCCCCTTAATGGTATCCCACATTAATCTTAGGCTTTCTTCATTTTGTTTTGATCTTTTTTCTGATTGTTCCCTTAACAAAGTAGTATTGAGATATTTGTTTTCAATCTCACTAATTCTGTATTCCGTTGATTCAGTTGTACTCTTTTGCTCATTCAATGTAGTATCTATTTCAGAAATCTTAGTGTTAATCTTCTGGCTTTCTATTAGCTGTTTTCATGTGGTTTCTATTCTTTTGTTTATTTTGTCAGTTTGTTCTTGTATTCTTTTCCTAAATTGTTCTATAGTTTTTGTCTGTGTTTTCCTTGATCTGTCTCTCAATCGATTGAAAGTACCTAAATATAATTCTTTGGAATTCCTTATTAGGCAATTCCAGTACTGCTTCTTCCTCAGGGAGATTTTCTGGGTCTGTATCCTGGCCCCTTGTTTGTATTACTTTATCTTGCTTCTTTGTGTGGACTGAGGTAGTCAGTTGTTTCTGAGAGATTGTGATGTTGTATTTATATTTAATTGGTGATTGTATGTTGATGTGATTTGCACAGATTTTTTTGTTTTGTTTTCTTTATTTGTGCGGTGTAGTAAATTACTTAGTGTGGCTTTTCTACCCATAAGTCTTTGTAAACTCCAAGGTGGGATTTTGTATGAGCAACTGAGCAGCCCCTGATTGCTGAAGCTATCCACCTGGGTTATTTCTGCTGGGAGTGGCACAATACAATGTTCTGGGAGGTGCCCACTCTCTCTCACGTGCTTAGA